AGATATCTATATGACTCCTCCAGGCTTATTTTCTACACCCTCACATGACGTTTGTAAGCTCAAACGATCTCTATACGGTTTGAAACAGGCTCCACGGGCCTGATTTGAAAAGTTTCGCAATACTATCAGAGTGAGTATGATTTTTCATTATTTCTTTGCAAGACTGACAAGGGAATTGTGTTGTTATTAGTCTATGTTGATTATATTGTCATCACTGGATCTAAAACTCAATTGTGTCTCAGTTACAGAAGCGTTTTAAAGGTTCTTTTCATATAAAGGATTTGGGGTCTTTAACATATTTCTTAGGTCTTGAGGTTCACTCGTTTTCCGCTGGTATTTTTCTTCACTAACATAACTATACTAAGGAACTCATTGCTTTGGTTGGGCTCCAACAGGGTACTCCTTTGGAAATGAATGTTAAATATCAACAGAATGAATGTGACTTCCTATCTGATTCATCTCTGTATCGACAACTTGTTGAGAGTCTCAATTATCTAACCATCACACACCCTGATATTTCATTTGATGTGCAACAAGTTAGTCAATTTAGGCAGGCACCTACACATCTTCATTTAGCTGAAGTTCGACGGATTGTTAGGTATTTGAAAGGGCGTTCTCATCACGGCTTGTTTTTTTCTGCGGAGTCTCCTACTCGCTCAACAGCCTATAGTGATGTTGATTGGGTTGGTTGTTTTGATACACCTAGATCTATTATTGGCTGGTGTATATTTCTCGACAAGAAACAAGGTCGAGTGTCTGAATCATCTACTCAGTCTGAATATTGCGCCATGTCCTTTGTTTGTTATAAGATCATTTGGCTTTAGGGTTTGTTGGTTGAGTTTGGTTTTCCTCAACTTGAGTTTACTTCTCTTTATGCAGATAATACTAGTGCTATCTAGATTACTGCTAATCTTGTCTTCCATGAGCAGACGAAACACATTGAAGTGGATTGTCATTATATTCGAGAATTCTATGATAATGGTGTTATTTCTCTTCCTCATATCTATTATAATCTTTAAACGGCTGATATATTTATTAAGGCTCTTTCTCGACAACGTCATCAGTTCCCTGTTGACAAATTGATGCTCCTTGATCAGCTAGCATCAATTTGAAGGGGGATATCAATCAAAATAACTCGAATCGGGCAAAATTTAAGATTTTCCTTCTTTAAATTGCTGCATTAAATTTCTTATTTTAATTGTACATATTCTTTCCTTTTAGTTGAATATCTAGATTAGGAATATGCATTATTATGTACCAAAATATATTGTACAGACTATTATTTATTGGAATGAAAGCAAAGGAAATAGGCATTCAACCTATTTACTCAAAACATTAAAATTGTCCTTGCATACCTACTCAAGATGGTATTGCTGAGAGGAAACATAGGCATTTAATTGAGACAATCCAAACACTTATGATTGATGCTTATCTTCCTCCACACTTTGGGATTGATACACTGCTTACGGCTAGATACCTTATCAACCATCTCCCTTCCAAAACTACAAATAATCTCTCCCTTTCAAATCTTATACAAGAATCCTCAATCTTATAATCATCTTAAGATATTTTGATGCCTTTCTTATCCTTGGTTAACGCCATATTCCCCTAATAAACTTGTCGATTCCACTGCATTAGTTTTCATTGGCCATGCAGTCCACCATAAAGGTTACAAAAGTCTTGATCCTCTCTCTGGGCGTGTTTACATTTCTCGACGTGTTATTTTTTATGAAGATCATTTTCCCTATCACACTTAGACAAAAACCTCAACAAACTCTAAATCTGAATCCATTCCACCTCTCTTATTAGTTCCTCCTACTCAACCCAATGACTCAAGCCATACCATGTACCATATCACCTTTATCAACTTCTACAACAATTTCTTTACAAAACAGTCCATTACCTGTGCCTTATCAAAAAGCTTTGTGTCACATCGCATCAAGCGCCAGTGCCTCTACTTCTCCTCAACCTCCGCTTCCCACATGCCATCATATGCTAACGAGGTTACAAACTGGACATTAAAGCTTTGCAAAATTTTTCGACAGACAACGCTCTTTAACAGATTCAGATCCCACCTGTTTTACTCGAGCAACAAGTATAAACATTGGAGGAAGGCCATGTTTCTTGAGTTTCAAGCCTTACAAGCAAGTTCAAGGCACTTGGTGCCTTGTCCCACCCACTATTGATATGAACCTTTTAGGGTGCAAGTGGATTTACAAGACCAAACTCCAATCTGATGGCTCATTAGCTCATCTAGTCACTGAAGGCTGCAAACAAGAATAAGGAATAGATTACAGAGAAAAAATCATTCTGTTTGCCAAATTTCAAACTCTTCGTATTTTTCTCATAGTTGTCACTACAAGTAATTGAATCATACTCTAACTTGATGTTTCAAATGCATTTTTGCATGGTTATCTTGATGAACCAGTATATATGAAACAACTACATGGGTTTCTCGATACTCTATTGAAATCATGTGTGCAAGCTTCACATAGCCCTCTATAGACTAAAACAAGAAATGCATCAATGGTTTGCCATGTTGACCAACTACACACCCTTGGGTTTCAATCAGCAAAGCAGATGCATCTCTCCTGATATATCAAGTCAATTCCATGATTATTTACATTATTGTATACATTGATGATATCTTAAATTCTGGCAGCAATAATATTATTAAACAGGGTATTCTCACTAAACTAACAAATCCATTACATATGAAAAACCTCGGTCCTATACACCACTTTCTTGATATGCACGTGGAGCACAATGTTCACGGGTTACATTTGAATAAAGCTCATTATGCTCATAAGATTCTCAACTGATGTAGCATCCTTGATTGTAAATCAGTCCTTATTCCAACTCCTACAAAATTACTTGTTGAAGCTGAACAATGCACTACATTCGAAGCCTACTTTCTATAGCCACTTAGTTGGTTCTTTTCAATTTGTCACATTAACGAGGTCTGATATCGCATATGTTGTAAATAAACTTTATCAATACGTGCATAATCCGCACAGAGCTCATTTCCAGCTTCTTAAACATCTATTGCCTCACATTTAGGGCACTATCCTTTATGGTTTACCTATCTATGCTTCTCCTCTCATTTTGCAATCATTTCAGATTTTCATTGGGCTGGTGATATTTTCAATCGAAAATCCACTATTGATTGTTGCTCTTTCCTAGGTAAAACTCTTATTGTCTAGGCTGTTAAAAAGAAGTGAACAGTGGCCTGTTCATCTACAGAAGATGAGTATAGAGCTCTTGCTACTGCTGCAACTGATATATGTACTTAAGAAGCCTTCTTCGTGACATTCTTGTCTCTGAACCTACTGTGTTGTTTTGTGCCAATATCTATGCTTTAGCTTTAGCAAACAATCCTATTTTCCACTCTCACACCAAGCACATTGTCATTGACGCTCATTTTATTTGAAATTGCATCAAGTCTAATGAGACTAGTATTCATCATATTACCACCCAAGATCAAATATTTGATATCTTTATCAAATCACTTACAATCTATCAGTCTCAGTATCTTTGTAGCAAGCTTACAGTCCAAGATTGGCCTTATCACTTTGAGGGGAGGTGACAAGTATATAGAAGATGTTGCAATTAACTAAGCTTTCGGTTATATGTTACCTCTCAACTCCACTAGATAAAATTGCACCTTCTGATTATAACAAATGGTTTAATATCATTTACCTTCATAACTGTCTCTGTTGCTATACAGGTTTGGTTCTAACTTCTACATTCTTCTCTCTTGTATTAAATACCAAGTTGTTTCATATGAAAGGTAAGGCTGAATTATACAACAGCCTTTTGTTTTCCAAACTCTGTTATTCCTTTTGCACTTCTGTATCTTCCTGTAGTGAACTGTTGACACTACTACAACAACAACAAGACTTTATCCCACTAAGTGGGGTCAGTAACATGAATCCTTTTTCTCTATTGTCCTATTGAGTCCAATATTTTTATTTAATTCTAATATACTAAGATTATTTTTTATACAATATGCCCAAGTATTTTTAGGTCTACATTTGCCTTTCTTAACGTCGACACTAATCCTTCTAAATCATTTTGGACATCTCTCTTCATGTAATTTGTGTTTGGCCTCGCTTTCGTAATCCTCCAACATAAATTTTATCTACTCTTCTAATGGTACAATTCCTATTATTTCCTAGATATGTACAAACCAGCTATCTCTATTCATTACCATATCTTTCCTCTCCAACCACAATGCTCTAATATTATCAAAATTAAATTCATACTTTTAGTTAAATTCATACATATATCTTAACATACTCAATTCTACAACACTAATTTGAGCTAAGATTTTTTAGTTATCCAACACTCAAATCAGACAAAAGAAAGAGCAAATGACATAAACAACAAACTTTCACTTAAAGAACATGTCTATCCAGGACTAGAATTGCTCTTAAGAGAGTAAGCCAAGATGTTATAATAAAAGAAATTTGGTTATAACATTCAAACTATAAACGAGCGATAAGTAAGCCTACTCGATGCCACAACTATTGACCTGCTAATTTGAGAACAAAACTGGCACAATCCATTTAAATGATCCTGCAGTTTTCATTAAATTAATAAAATAATGGAATTTAATCCAAAAGATCAAATTATTGATAGCAATCGTAATAGATTTACATTATACATATATCAATTGATGATATCATTAAAAAGAAAAAAAATTATATAAATTTGCTAATTATTGCAATAAACTGCTTTATATGCATTAATATTTTAAAAGGCTGCTGAAAATTTTTTTATATAACCCCTTTCCAGTACATCTATGTTCAATACAAAACAAAATTTGCAGGACCAGTTATAAAACAAGTTCAATGAAACTCCAATTTCATCATGTAGTTCTCCACTGCATGGCATTAAAAAATAATAATATGGTCTGACATAGCTAAAAAATTAGTAAGCCATGCTTTTGCCACTTTCAATAACGAAATCCTGTGCCCTACATCCATGAAAATCCATACCTCATCAAACCTTATCAGAGTTACAAAAAGTCGAATATCAGCTTCCGTCAATTCATTCCCACAAATATAGCGTTGCCTACTCAGTATCTCCTCACATTTGTCCAAGGCATTATATAACTTCACTACAGCCTAAGTGAAAGGGCAACATAAAAGTCAGAAGAAAACCCAAATTTAATTTAATATGATAAAAAAATCATTACCTCGTCATAAGGACCTTGTTTTGTAGCAAACCCACACTTATAAACACCATTGTTAATGGTGTTATAAACCAATTCATTGACCTCATCAATGGCTGCTAGTAGGTGAGAGGGATATAAGTTTAAGTCAGCATTTTCAGCTATCTCATTGAACTCTGTGTTGAACATACGTATTATTTCTGAACTTTCATTATTTACAATTGTTTTGAGATTTTTATCCCAAAGAACCTGTTACATAATTATAAAACTAACTCAAAAGTGTCTCAAGCAAAAAAAAAAAAAAAGAAATCTTGCTGGAATAGACTCAAAAGAACAAGAAACAAAAATATCATGCACATACAGGAACAGTATATCTTCCTGAATAATTCGGGTTTGCAAGCTCATAAAGTTCCCTGATACTCCTGGCACCATTCAAATGATCAGGTTCAGCCCCAGCTTCTTCTGTGCTAGAAGCAGGAAAGACCCACCCAAAATGCTCATCAGTCTCTTTGGTCCTTTCCAATATTGATTTCACTGCCTAAATGATGAATTGTATATATATAAGGTGTTAAGATGTGATGACAGAGATGAATGTACGAAAAAATCTTAAAAGAGTCACAGAGAGGAAAAGTCACCGTGTAACTGATGGCCTTATCTAGTCCTTTGACTTTTAAAAATGACAGACATCTAGAAGCCCAAGGGCATGCATAAGATATATATAAATGGTATCTTCCTGATTCTGCAGGGAATTGAGAAGCTTGATTTTTTGAAATAAAATTACGAAAACTTGAAGGTGCACGGACGAAAGCACCAGCCTCTGACAATACATCGTGCGCAAATCTAGAAGACATTGATGGGTCTGCTAAGAGTCCATAACTTGAAAATCAGAACAGCAGTAGCTAGTTGAAAACTAACAAAGATGTTTATTAAAACAAATAAAGTATTAAGATGATAATAATGATTCATTTCTAAAGCGAGCATGCCATTAATTGTGCACAGTTTCATCCTATTACTAAGATTGACATGAAGTATAAAATCACCATCGTTACATCAAGCAACAACAAAGTATTATTATGCAAAATAGAATATAACTGAAACATGTGGGGAAAATAAGACTAGAATAATGATATCTATAATCTCTCCTGTTTGTGAATTATGTTTTCTAAGCATATATGCTAACACATGTTCATGTAACATAAACGTTAAATTTTTGTGACATTAAAATATTTGCAGAAATAAATCTTTAATTAGTAAAGGAAAGCAAGAAATTTTAACTTCTAAGAAAAAGGGTTTCAAAACAATTGAAAATCGGTTTGAAATTATAAGATAGCCAAAAACGACTAGCTATTTATATTCACAAGTAACCACAAGGATTTGCATTGTTCCAACTTAAATGTATAATAATATTCAGGAAAACTACAAAATTCTTCAAATACTGATAGACTTGTTTTGTGAAAGCAATAAAAACTGGAAGTGTAATAAGCTTTAAATGTCGGTTCGATCCATTACGCCAAGCAAAAATTGCGGAGCGAATTAGAAATCATCAAATTACAGGAATCTGAAAAAATAACTCTAAAGACATGTAATTCTAAAAAATGGACTAGTTCCACATAATTTTTTAAAGCAAAAGTCAATGTTGAAATAGTTTATATTAGGACTAATTCAATGGCATTCATGTTTGATTTTCCTGAATGAGACCAAGGCACCTGTAGCAGCATTCCTTTTTTAGGGGTTCATTCTCAAAGGAGGGTGTTATGGGATGGGAAAAAATTTGCATACGTCCAGCGTACGCAGCGCTGCGTAAGTCATCCAATCGGAGCACGACACATCAATAAAACCAGTCTCACCACATAGATTTTAAATATTCCCCGCGTGACCTGTCTGGGGGTAATACCGATTCGATACACATACAATAACCGAGCAGTAACCGCTTGCTTGGATGCCGTGGTACAACCCCAATAACCGACCTGTAACTCAAGAGAAACCGTGGACCCTCTGTACCGCGGTTGTGTAACTGCGCGGTAACCTCTGTACGATATGTATCGTGCGTATAACATTGTGGTAACCTCCAAAGCTCTGTACCACGGCTTTGTAACTTTGTGATAATCTCCGAAAACCTTTCGTCAATTCACAGAGCTTGATAACCTTCTTCAAAAATCATAGCACACGAATGTTGTTATTTAAGCAGCTATGGTTTACTGTTTTATTGCCCATCCGACGCTATTTTGATGTTAAAGATGGACTATGTAAACTGGCATTTCATGTCTGACAGGGAAGGAGAAGAAACATATCCGGCCAACAAAGAAGTTGATGTTAAAGTTGAGGTGTGTTTGTGTATTAATTGTATGTTTGCAGTTCTGTTTCTTTTTTTTTTGACAAATTTCTTTGTGTTTGTCCGCCCGTATATCTTTGTTTCTTGGTGTGTTTGTTTATGTGTTTCTTCTTATGTGTTTCTTTAGTGTTTTCCTTGGTGTGTTTGTTGTTGTGTTTCTTGGTGTTTTCCTTAGTGTGTTTCGAGGTTTAACTGGTACACATTTCTTCAGTTTTTATTAAAATGTTGTTTGCTTTTAGGGTGTTCTTATTTGTTGGGTTTACAAGAATATTTTGGAGGCGAATGTTTGTTTTGGTTTGTTTGTTGAGCTATGATTATTAGGGTTTAATGTAGTGTTCTTATTTGTGGGTTTACAATAATATAGTGTTCTTATTTGTTGGGTATTCCTTTTAGGGTTGTTTGTTTGTGCACCTATTATTGAGTTTAATATAGTTTTTTATTTTGTGCAGTTTGATGAAAGTTAACCTAAATGTACGGAGCAAACTGCAAATATTTTACTTCAAACGGTGGTTCACAATAGAAAGAAGCTTAAGAAGAATATTGTGTTTACGCTCATCATATCGGATTCAGTGTTCGTAAGGAGCGCGACACTTTCTGGCCTAACTCCAGGAATCTTAAAACGAAGGATTTTGTATGTGGAAAAACATGATTCAAGAAAAAGCTGAAAGTCACAGAAACTGTTAAATACAAAAGAGCAGACACAAAAAGTCGTTGTCCGGCAATGATTCGATACGCAATTGATGTTGAAGGTAATTGGACAGTTCAAAAATTCATTGAATCTCATAACCACTCATTAGCAAACCCTGGTGATAAGCACATCTTGCCTTCCAACAGAAAGATAAGCGAAGTCAATGTAGATGTGCTTAGATCGATGACACAGTCAAGGATAAGACTTAGAGATGCGTTTAACTTTCTAGCCATAAAAGTTGGGGGAGTAGAGAACCTAGAGTGTACTAAGATAGCTGCCTTCAATTTCATTCATAGAAAGAAGAGATGTAGAATTGAAAATGGCGATGCCAATGTTTTATTGTAATTATTCACAGAGAGACCTGTTGAGAATAGCATGTTTGAGTAGGACTTCGAAATTGATGAGAGTGATAAACTGATGAATTTTTTTTGGAGTGACGGTATGTCCAGACATGGTTATGATTGCTTTGGTGATGTTATTATTTTTGATACTTGCTGCAGATTAAATAAATATAACTTGTGTTGTGCTCCTTTTGTTGGCGTTAACCACAATTGACAGAATATTCTCTGTGGCGTTGAATTCTTATTAGAGGAGACAGTAGAGTCGTTTCAATAATTTTATAAAAATTTTATCTGTATTATGGGCAATAATCATCCAATTACAATATACATTGATCAAGATCAGACAATGGGAAAAGTCATAGAACAAATTTTATCAAATACACGACATTAATTATGTCAGTAGCACATATATAAGAAATTGACTACAAAGACTCACTGCAGGGTGGTGAATAAAATAGTCACTAATCTTTTTTATAAGTGTATGAGCAAATGCGAGTGAAGAGGAATTTGATAAACATGGGAGATGATGATTGAGACTGGTAATCTACAGGAGAACATTTGGTTAGATGAGATGTATAACATCAGAGATAAGTGAGCTACAGCTTTTAATAAGAATGTATTTGGAATGAGAATTTTATCCACCCACAAAAGTGAATCAACAAATAATATTTGTCATGGTGTCGCTAAGCCCACAAATTCTATTACTGATTCTTTTTTTGGGTCTTGAACATGTCATGAGAACATGGAGGCGTAACGAGAAGGAATGAAGATTACAAGTGCGATCAATCTATGATCACTCCAGTTGCGAAAAGCAGCCCAATGCTGAGGCAGGAAGCTGCATTTTACTCAAGGAAGCTTTACAATATGTTTGAGGAAGAGTTTATTTACGAATCATGTGGTCTTCAATTACACGCCCTGTAAACAATGAAAATGAATTTTTCATTAAGAATCTGAATGTCACATGACAAACAAAACTTGGGTTGTAAATTTCGACCCTTTCAGTTCGGAGATCCAATATAGCTGCAGAAAGTTCGAAATGATGGGGCTATTATGTGCACACTCTGTACGAGTACTGAATTTTCTACATATTAAGATCCCAAATAAATATCTCCTATTGAGATAGTCTACAAATGTAAAAGAAGATGTGTATGACAGTTATGAATACAAGCATTTCCAACAGTCACAAATGTGGAATGATGGTAAAGGTGACCTAATATTTCAAACACATATACAAAAAATGAACACATGCAAAAAATGTCATATCTATGCACTAATAAAGCAAAGAAAAATGCAGAGACTGAGTAGTGCATGAAGGATTCAATGAAGAAATTATCGTTGGATATTGATGACATAATAAAAAGAGGTTCAAAGTCACGAAAACAATAAAAAAAATAAAAAACCGGTGAATAATGAATCAAAACTGAATGATCTTGTCAAAATGCGCCCTAAAGGAATATCCAATTCCAAGCTAAAAGGTCACTGGGAGAGAAAGAAAGAGAAAAAGGTATATTTTGTTAAAAAAATTGATTTTAGATGTTTTAGCCAATGACAAGTTTTTTACCCATAACAACTTTAACTAACCACTTTAATAGGTAAATCGATAGAAATTTCAACTAGCCAAGAACCAGATGCTTTAAAGTCTGATCCAAGCATGTTCTCACTACCTGATTTTCTAACACAAGTTGATATATAATGCAAAATGATGATAACCATGTGCTAATCTTTTTATGTTGTGTATGTTATTTTAATATTTTTGGATCTTTCAAATGCAGAATTTCTTTCTTCCACGATACAGGAAATCATTAACCGTCATGATGACAGATTCAATATATGATCAGTAAGTATTATGACATATTCTTTAATCAGGATGTTTTTAATGAATAAGCTTTACGAATATGTTTTTTTTGTTTTTCACTCAGGTTCTAATCAGGATGTAAGCAACATTACTGAAGCATTTGTTGTGTCCAGACTGATTTGTATTGAGTTATTTGTTGCGTGGATGAGGAATTGTATTGAGGCATTTGTTTTTTGATGAAATGTTCCATTTTTTGTATTTTTTATGAGGATGTTTAAAGCATTTGTATTGAGGCATTTATAATCAGTATGTTTTTAAAGTAAATGTAACCTCCACTCCAGATCTGTAATCAGAATGTTTTCTGCTTCGAAATAAACTGGTACTTGACCTTGGTCACTTCTCCATTGCCCTTAACTTGTTGGCAATATGCAATTCTCTCATCTGACCACAAACAATATGCTTCAAAATCAATCAACCCATATCAAAAATCATGTAATACATAACAAATGTAGAAACAACATCACAAAAAATATCACAAAAGATATCCACAATCAGTAAGCCCACTTTCATGTACAACACCACACAACATTTCTTGGTTCCCTCTCTGAAGTCTTCCAGCTCCAGCATTTTTGGATCATCAACTTCAATGCATATTAACCTCCATACAATCAGCATGCTGAAGTAAAAAACCAGCTCAGACACTTTTAGAACATCACTTCTGAGTAACAATCTGTTGCACAAAGGAAAATAAATTAAACAAACAACCTAATTGCAAAGCTAAAAGGCATGAACAATATTAAATTCTAAGCAAACCCTCCTATCAAAAAGCTAGTTAACATTAACTATTTCAGAAAACTCTACGGCAAGAAGGAATGAGACGATGCATTCATCAAGTAACCTGCCACGAGTAGATAAAATTCTTAGAAACTAAATGGAGATATTTATAAATCTCATAAAGAGGCACGGATAAAAGTCACATACCAATTGTGTTCAATCTAATTTTTAAATTTCAGTAAAAAAATTTGTATAAGCTGCAATAAATGTTTTCCTTCCAAACCTACTGTGATTTTGACAAAGCAAATTTACAAATATCGTATCCAATTTTTGCTCCGAATAATGTCATCAATTCCTGCCACTCCTTTTTCTCCACCCAATTGACTTTCTCTTTTTGTACATGTGTCTTCATATATTTACAGACAAAAACACTGCAATGAAAATTGTTATTTTTTACTGGAATTCCTCTGGCCATTACAACTGGTCACTTCTTCAAATTAACCTGGAAAGCTTTCCTGACATCTTTTAAAAAATGTTCAATCTGTATACTTAGAGTTAAGTTAATAAATAAATATTTCAATCTGACAATAGTTAATGATCTCGTGTGAGGTCTTACAATGTTTTGAGAGATATGCAAATGCATTTTGTTAGATAAAGAGTCATAAACTCTCAATTTCCCCTCTGTTAGTGCCCCAACAAAAAGTATTCAATGTTGATATTTATTATAAGTATCAGTAATAACTCTCTCTTCTGGATTTAATCTTTTGTAATATGTGCGACAAAGGATTTAACGTTACCTTATCTATACAACTACATCAAGAAGAACAAGACGACATTCAAAATATGGTCATGTTAGATTTGTGTGAATGCAAACAACAAAATATTAAATTTTTAAAATTTATCCAGTGACATGGAGATACATACAGGCACGATTTATACAGATGTGATGCGTTACACCGCTTATTCTCTATCAACATAGCAAAACAATCAACATGTTTATTGTCTAACCAACCGTTTCCCAAGAATTCATCGAGATAGTCGCGGCACTGAAACATGTCTCATATTAATTAACAGGTCACCCCTGCATTTGAAATATAAAATTACTTCAGTTTATAATTACAAAATTAATGCAGAACACCCAAAAATTAGGTGAACTAACAAGTTCATGAATTTTCTACAACATATATTGATTGTTTCCCGCATATAATCTGGAATTTCATCTCTAGCAGGAAAATCGATCACCTGAGATGCTGGCTAGACCTGTAAGATAAGCAAAATCAGAATATTTAATGCTCATATTTAAATACTAGAAGAAAACATTTCATACCTTGTCTGGGTAGTCCTCACTAACATAATGAGTGACTGGTTGGTGCTCCTATTTCTCTTTATATACAATTGTAACCTCTTGTTGGGGAGATCTGGGTTGCTGATCAATACCCGCTTCCTCTTCCTGTACAATTTCAACCGGTTCCTTTAATGGTTTTTTCTCTTTCTTTCGAAAACAACATATGGGAAACTGAGAGTCATTTTTATTCTATTTAATCTCTCCTTAATCCTTTGGATCAAGCTCCTTTGTGGGGACTCTTTGACCGATTTTCTCATTAATTCCTCATCTAATTATTTTATTGTTCTTTCTACATTCACGACAAGACACTTTAAGTCTTTCACCGCATTTTCTAACTTTGTCAAACAACTTTCAACAAAGTCTTGAAAGTCCAAAACTGTATTCTCTAAACGCGTTAAACGACTGTCAACAGAGACTTGAAAATCCAATATAAATTTTTGTTGATCTTTCAATAATTCATGAATCTCTTCAAATCCAAGTCTTTGACTCGTCCGTTCAAATATATGATTGTCGGTTGGTTGAGGACTAATATGATAAGGTACTATAGAAGATACCTCAACCAACATGGGTGTTGTGGTATGGAATGGGTCTTTCCTGTGGGAGAAGCTTTGCAGGACTGAAGGGTTCTTCAAAGAAAGTGGCAAGTAAGCGATATTCACTTTCTTTTACATCAAGAAAAAAATCATAGACCTGCAAAAAATTACAGACAAACAAGGTCAGTCAATGTATAGCATGACCATAATACCAATTTATGTAAAAAATTATTGAATTCACCTTGGCAAGACCATAATACCTCTTTCATGTCCAACTTCTCCGCCTCGTCAAACTGCGCAACATTCGCCTCTTCCAACACGGTCGTGGTCTTATCGATGTCCTCCATTTTAATCTTGCTTCAGAATACAAATGTGAAACCCTAAACAGTACCTTAACGTTCAAGAAGAAGGCAAGCCTGGGCGCGAATGAAAACATCAATCCTGTTTCGAAAAAGAATTCTTACAGTCTAAATTTTTACCACGGGTATTTGAGCAGTACATTTTGCGGGCGTTAAGCGAAGGTTACACGATTATTACTGGGAATTACTAAGAAGGTACATAGGTTATCGAGGTTACCGCAACGTTGCACAATCATTCCACAAAGTTACAAAGTCACGGTACGGGGCTTTGGAGGTTACCGCAACGTTACACGCGCGGTTCATATCGTCCAAAAGTTTCCAAAAGTTACCGCGCAGTTACACAGCCGCGGTACAGAGGGTCCGCGGTTTCTCAGAGTTACAGGTGGGTTATTGGGGTTGTACCACGACATCCAACGGGGCGGTTACAGAACGGTTACAGGGCGGTTATTGTTCATGTATTACCCCCATATATACCGTGCGGGTCAGGTCGATGGGTCACGCGGGGAATATTTAAAATCTACGTGGTAGGACCGGTTTTGCTGATGTGTCGTGTTCCCAATGGATGATGAACACAGCGCCACGTACGCTGGACATATGCAATTTTTTTCCTATGGGATGATATACTACAAAGAAAAAAAATTCATTAATTGGCTTTGAAGTGCGCTAAGGTCAGCGGTCAGCGGATATTGCATCAATTCTTTTAGAAGTTTCAGGAGAAAAAAATCATTCTCCTACGTATATGACAATTGTCCCCCTTTTTTTTCTGTATAAAACTTTTAAGGTTTTCATAAGATGTTATCACTTTTAATCAGACATTAGTAGTATTATTTTTGTATTACCCGCACAAAAATTGAAATTAAAGAAATTTTAATTTACATTTTAAGCCAACTATCATGGTTATACAATACTGAGCTCATTTACCAAAAGCTCTTTTATCATATTTTTGAGTACCAGTATCTAAGTTGGTCGGTCCTTTTTCTTTCTTTAATTCAAGAGAAAATCGATTACAATATAACAACAAAAAGTCATTTACCCTTACAATTTTGTCCAATTTGCCACAGACTCTACACTCTACATACAAGGCTGCGTAAGAAAATTTAAAGAATAAAGAAACGCTTTGCCTGTCCAATTTGGATTTTCCCTCTATTCACTACTTACGAGTATAGCTAAAATGGTAATTGAACCCCAAATTACAAGCTCAGGACTCAAAACATCAAAAATGTTTTGCTCAAACGGAAGATCAATCATATGAAACCACAGAACAAGCATCGATGAAAAACGTACGACAAATCCTAATCAAAAGCAAACTAATTGAACAGAAATGTAAACCCTATACCATGTCTTATGATTTACGCCAAGTTAAATTATACAACTAAAATAAGAACAACATAAAGGCAATCAAATTTCAGCAATGAAGAGGCTTCTTCAACCTTACAAGACTGACTCACCTTGTCTAAGAAGCGTTGGCAGATGAAAGAGACGATTAGAGATTGCAGGCGAAGAGAACATCAACGTGTAAGGAAGGAATAATTAAATAGGAAAAGGATCATCCTGGTCGTCCTTTAGGAGCCGCCAAGCCGGGGTTTTCCCTATTAACCTTTGGGTATATGGAGCCGCCATGGCAGATCGATCCACGAGGAGGAACTGGCACATTCGGGCTTCTACACGCGTCAATACCCGGCCTTGTTAAGTTGATGTACGTTGAAATTTTGAATTGCTGACGTCACCTAGTGGTGATATAAAAATAAAAAAATTCATTTTAGTGCAAGATAATATTCCGTCGATGTTATTCTGCATTATTCATGTGTTATTATGATGGTATTCATGTATTATTGTGTTCAGAAAATATTTTTTGAGCTATAATAACACAATAACATATTATTACTATTACGATAACATCTGAATAATACGGAATAACAGAGAAGGAATATTTTTTTGTCTTACCGGGTCGGATCACAAGAAAACACACGTGTTTTCTTGAAGTCACGTGTCCACTCTACGTTAGGAGTCCTGATGTAATATTTTTCCATTCTTATATATTTAAATTATATAAAAATAATTTTAATATAAAAGATTTTCATACACACCACTTAATTCATATATATTTACACCTTGAACACCTAAATTTAAATGTTTATATATACATTCCACCCAAAGCAGTATTTCCTTTTTTTAGTTAAAATAGCAATGTTTTTTTTTTTAAATTTGATATAAAAGATTTGGATGATTTTAATGTAAGACTGTAAAATTTTGGTCTTAGATATGTAAATACATAAGAATGGTAGGACTTCTTAAATTTACTTAGCTGGGGCCCACCTTCTATTTTGCGTATGTGGCCCGAACCTTGTATTTCCTGCCTAGTATGTATAGAGATTTGTCTCTTTGTTTTTTATTAGACTAATTAATATTAATAGATCAAGTTTCTCTTCTGTTAAACCTTTTCTTCCCTGTTCTCTCGCATTTGTCTTCTTCCTCAGTTTGCAAGATTTCATGGTATCAGAACTTCTCAAGGCTTAGCAGTCATGGACGATTTCGTATCTTCTCGAACTCACGAAGGCTTGGCCTCCTTGCGTATTGCCGAAAATCCTATCCCGCCTTCTTTGAAGTTTCTCATGATGAATCTCAAGTCAATGGTGAAAAATGCCGTAACCTCTGATAATTAACGACTCTGGCGTTCGCAAATCATTAAGATTACTAAAGCCAATGGATTTTTGGGCTTTCTTGATGGTACCTTGCAACCACCTACTGTGATTGATGAAACAGGTAAGACCACTGTAAATCTCGCATATAATATTTGGATGTTGATTGATCAGAACTTAGCAGTGGCTTTATATTCCACTATAGGTCTGTTTGGTGCAGTTTTCCAGCTTTTCAGCTGGAGCTTAGCTGCCCTAGGAAGCAGCTGCGGGGAAGCTGATGGTCTGTTTTTTGTAGCTGCGAAAAAACAGATGTAATGGAGCTGTTTATGGAAGATTGATCATTCTGCTTCTGTTTATTCAAAACGTTTAAAACAGAACTCTAACTGTCATCAATTTGATACTTCAGAAACTTCTTTGCTAAATTTCCACTGCATATAAATGAATGAAATCAAACAGAACAAAGAAATATCTTATAAAGCCAAATTCAAATATTTGTTATATATATAT